TATTATTCATTTAGTTAATAAACAGCGTTTACTAACTTTGTCACATTGGATTATTAAATAGGTATTGCTTCTAATTTAAGTCACCAAATTAACTTGCAGGTTTTCTAATAAACTGTGATAGACCACAATTTAAATTAGCAATTAACAATTTTATTGTTTCAAAAAGCAAGACAATTTAATACAAGAGTCCAAAATAGAGAACGATAAGAATTTATTAAGTTTTTTTAAATTTAACCTATATGTATATATGTGAGATGATGATGATGATGATGATGATGATGATGATGATGATGATGATGATGATGTGTGTGTGTGTGTGTGTGTGTGGTGCTGTGTGTGTGTGTGTGTGTGTGTGTGTGTGTGTATAACATATACCTGTATTGTATCAGTAATACTGTTTGACTTTCCGGTTTCGTAATTTCTGGAGCCATGAGTAAACACTGGGAGAGGGCGACGTATTGTTTGCACGCGAATACCTACACGTAACGATGCGTGTGAGTGTGTGGGTGTGTGCTAAGATAGACCAACGCAATACCTGTGGCAGGTCGAATGGATGGTGAGCGGGACATTCGCAGGAGGATTCAATCGCTATGTCAACACGGGCGTCCGGCTATCAAATTTGCCCCCACGCTTGGAATATACCAAAAGGGATCATCGCATGGACTTATATACAATAAAGGACCATAATAAATGTAGTATAACGTGAAGAAGCTGCTCTGTACCTCGATTATACACGCTGAGAGGGTACCGAAAATCGCCTGCTCGTATTATTTGTGTATATCTAAATCACGTGTGGTTACGGCTATGGTCGTATCGTGACATGGTTTTGTACTGCACGCGGTGCATTAATTCATGATATTATTAGGTAATTTATAAAGAAAATATCTAATTAATATATAAGTATGAAGTTATAAAGAGTATTTTTTTTTTTTTTTTGAACTTACATTACAATATTTTTGATGAAGTGCCATTATAAAAAAATAAAAATAGTTTATATTTTTATATTAAACAGGTAGTGTACACCATATTTTTAATCATACAAAACTTTTCGATAGTTATTTAATTACATTTACCCAATAAAAGAATACTCTTTACACGTCAAACCAGTATTAAATAATTTGTAGAATGTTTTTAGGCCAGTAATAAAATTATTCTAGATAAAACGGATAATATAGCCTTATTACGTATATGTATTAATCTAATGAAATAAAGAGACGTACACTTATTTACCAAAAAATAGAAATTTCATGTAGTCGGTAAAATAAAATTGTAACACATATATTATTATTTCTCATCGTAGACAGCGTGGCAATGCGTGATTCGATGTTGTTCTGCAGCTTTAGCTAGAGTCGATTTTATAGGGAGTTAGACTGTAATAACTTTATTAACAAATACTGATGTCGTGAATGCAATATAAAAATCTGAACGATCGAGGATAATATGATCGTGAGGAGAGGAAAACATATTGAATAATAACAAAAATAACAGTTATCATTTTATTGCTAGTTAAAATGAATGGTTAGTACACCATAAAGGTATTAAATTATTGTTCGGCTGCATTCGTTACATTTTGCCGATTCCATGGTTTTTATGGCGCGTGTTTAACACAAGTCATGTTTAATAATAAACACGTTTGTATTAGTCAGCCCGTCGTCGGTCGAAAATATCRGTACCCGAAACCATCAAATTATAATATGCCTATATCTATAATAGTACCTACATTCGAATCAAATCGATTTGTAATATRATTTTTTTGTACCGGCTCCATTCGACTCGGTAGATCGACACAGAAATATCGAGCGCATATTATACACGCCAATATCGACGCACATGTCTACACGGGGGATCCCTATGTAACTGCCGTATAATACGATTGTTACTCGTATATAGGTACGCGCGTAGTAGGCTGCTAGCTATGTGCTGGGGTGTGTTTGGGTTGGCGGGCGGAGGACTGGTTTTATTTTTTGTTTATTGACGGAAATCCACGGCAACGGGTCAAACGGGGACAACGTGTTTTGGTCAGCGATTGTATGTATTGTAGTTCCTGCAGGGGTCGGTCCCTCGCGGCGCGCGCAACACCCCTACCCCTTGCACAGATGACTACAAGGGTCAATGAAAACACCGACGACCCCACCGCACGCAGCGATTTATTATATTATTATTATTATTACATTGTACACGGTACCGACAGCAGTAGTTGGGAACAGGATTATGAGGGCCGGCCGAGCACTTCCGGGGTCATTTCAGCTGCCCGATGGTCACGTTCGGGCGCAAAATGGCCGTTCGTATACGACGACCATCGGTAGCACGCTGCCTATGCATATAAAATTCAACTGAATATTATGTCAAGCTAACCTCGCTGCGTTCGTTATCGTGCAGATACAGTTMAGTGATATTTGTATATCAAACAGCCGTTAGGCTTCGCTTTCGTGTCTGAAACAAGTAAACGAAAAATTTAATATTTTATCAAACCATTATTGTATCGAGGTTAGGTAAACCTAAAAAAAAAAATCWGCACCGCAATTTTCACAAWATCATACTTCAAAAGTATCGCGATCGAATGATATCAATATAAGCTGTTGACAATGATACGTCTCGTTTTGTAGTTCATTTTTGGATCTCACTGAACCATCTATTGCAGTGTTTTAACATTCAACCCATTTTTCCGTTCAGAATGTACTATTCTATATTCACCAGTATCGTTAATTACTTCAACTGAAAATAATAATAATAAAAAAAAAAAATACGTTAAAATATTMTTTATAAACATTTCTATTGATAATAATATAGGCCAATGCGTCCATATCAGTTGTACAGATTAATATAAATAAACATAGTCGTAAATATAATATAYCTATTGAAATTTGATAATCATTATACTTCTAAAGGGTGTTTAAGACGTTATGCTGTGGATTAATTATTAGAGTTTATCTAGATTGCAGCTATGGTGAATTTGTATAAA